CTGAGGGACAACGCAGGAGGGGAAGACCCTCTATGAGATGGATTGATTCGGTGACTGGGGTAATCGGGATGGGTGTGTCAGAGGCAGTGCTTTTGGCGCAGGACAGAGCAGGGTTTAGGGCTGTTGTGCATAGGGTCGCTATGAGTCGGAAACGACTCGACGGCACATAACAACAACAACATGTGTGTCTGTGTACCGTCAGATCAGATCTGACTGGTACAGGAGGAGATTGTCCCTCCTTTCTCGGCAGAGCATCTGGTGGATTTGAACCATGCGTCTCTGGGATTGCAGTACAGCTTCTTGCCCCTAGGCCACCAGAGCTCCCCTCCTTCAGCTATCTTATCTGTAAGTCATATTGTCTGTGAGTAGACACAATTGTCCTTCTGCCTTTTAAACCTGTGATGCTGTTATGTACCAGTGAGTTGGAACCAAGCCACAACTGACCTGCTAGCTGGTTTTCACAGTAAATTTTAAGAGGGAAGAATCCCCATCTTCCTTCTGCAGAGCAGGTGGTGGGTTTGAACTCTGTGCCTTTAGGTTGATGTGCAACTTCTTATCACTAAGCCATCAAGGCTAGATGCCTTTTATTCTTTCCCTTGCCTACCTGCACAAGCTAGAAATACTAGAACAATATTTAATAAAAGTGTCAAGAGCCATTAATTTTGTCTCGATTTTGATCTTAAGGGGAAACATCTAGTTTTTCACCTTTAAGAATGGTAATTATTGCAACTTGAGTCAGTTTTGGTAGTCTGTATCTTTCTAGGAATTTATAAGGTAAGGGTTAATATACCCTTTCATTTCTGTTCCTAATAATTTGAGTCGTATTCCTTATTTTCCTCGATTTAATATAGCTCATAGTTTGTCAGCTGTGTTTTATCTTTTCAAAGAAGCAACTTCTGGTTTCACTGATATTTACTGTCTTTCTATTGTCTGGCTCAATAAGTTCTTCTCAAATCTTTATTATTACCTTCCTTCTGTTTGCTTATATTCAGTTTTCTCTTCTTTTTCTAATATCTTAACAAAAACAACAAGTGTATTCATTGTTTTTCCCTTCTACAGAGAGAAAGATACTGGGGAAATTTTCTTTTTTTAATTAACTGGTGTATTCCAAACTCCTGGGTTTATAGCTGATTTAGGAAACTAAACCACCAAACTAGTTGCTGTCAAGTTGACCCTTACTCACAAGCAGCCCTATATACAAAGGCCTCAAAAGGTTTCTATAGAGAATGTCTGTTTTCTCCCACAGACACCAAATAACCACATCTTTCTCCAGTAGACTCCTAATAATGTCAAATCACTGACCTTTTGATTAGTAGCCAAGAATTTAGCCACTGGCACCTGAATATCCCACCAGCAGCTCAAATTCAACATGCCCCAAGCAGAACTCTCAGAGCTCTGGTGGCCCAGTGGTAAGGAGTTGTGCCGCTAACCCAAAACCAAGTGATCTGAATCCACCATCTGCTTCTCAGGAGAAAGATAGGCATTTACCTCCCATGGGATTTACAGGCTCTGAAAACCTATTGGAGTGCCAGCTATAACTTGGTTCTGACCTAGTAGAACACAGCAACAACATTAGAAACAAAGCTCATTCTTTTCCCCTACAAACTAGTTCTTTCTCTTCTTGCATAGACTTAGTTGGTTCACCATGGTCCACATAGTTTCCTTCCCTTTTAAAACTCTTTTCCGGCTCTGCTTCATCTGGGGGTGAGGGTCAAGCTCTGCAGTACAGAAAATGCAACGTCTTCCCTGTCTGATCTATGCTCACTTGCCGTTTCCAATTGTTCCTCCACCAGCAATTCCTACATTTTCTATTCCAGGAATATCTAATTTCTTGTCTTTCTCTCAATAAAGTGCTTCTGTCATACCCTTGCTAGTCAACACGTCAAGAATGTCCTCGTTTGTCTAGTAATGTTATTAATAACTCAAAAAATCAACTTAGATCCCAGAATTACCCAGCAATTTCTCCACCAAAAGAACTTTCTCCATATAGAGTGTTACTTCCTATACTTGGATTATTTTTATAGCTTATACATATTACTGAAAATGTCACAAAAAAACCAAGTTATTTACGTGTCTGGTTCTCCACCTAACTAGTTCTCCCAAAATAAGTACAATTAGTCACCTTGTACTCTTCTGTCTCTAGCACCTAACATAAATCCCTTAAGATTAACTGAGTTATAAAAAGAATTTTTCTAAAACAACATCAAGTACACCTACTGAAAATAAGTCCATGAGGAATAAGAACTGCTTTCTTCTGGTAGCTATCAAGACTTGAATGATTTTTATTAAAAACTACCATAAATCAATGTATTAAATGTATCAAGTGTGTCTTGCTGTAGCAACCCAAATTTATTATCATGAACTACACAAAAGACTTACCAAATGTGCACTAACACGGGTTTGCCACATGTCAACTTGCTTTGGTGTGAGATCAGGAATTGACAGGCCCAACCGGGAAGCCAAAGCTTCAACATAGCCTGCAAGTCTTTTTTTTTTTTTAAAAAGAAAAAGTTAATTAGACAAATTTATTTTTTTTTCAAATAGATATAGAAATGTTTTCAGATAGCAAAATACATTTAGTAATTAGTGGTCTGGAAATTGCCTTAAACACTTTTGTAACTTTCTATCAATTCTAAATCAAAGTCACCTATTAAGCATAATCTTTTATGAACTATAAAAACTGCCAAATGATGCGTATTATCAATTATGACTCTTCACATCAGATACATTATCAAAAATGTACATGTAAATACAATTTAGTATTTAGAAAGGATTAGTCCTTAGTACATAAACTTTCAACAAAATCTTCATCTCTAAATGAAATTATATAGTATTTTAAAATAAATTACTTAAAAATCTATTGGATAATTTTGTTCTATCAAACATATCAGAGAGATATAAAAACCACATGTGTTGAAAAGTTGAAAGTTTAGTCACGATAGTTTTATGCCAGAAATTGCAAGAATACAGAATTTCAGCTTTGACCACAAAACAAAACAAATTATGCTTAACAGTTCACAAGCATTACCTTTGCTTAAATTCTAAAACTCAGTAGACTCTCTGTCAAGTTCAAATCTAAATCTCAAAACCTACCACACAAATGAGCCAAAGGAAAAGACAAAGCCAACAAAAGAACAAAAGAGTGTTTATCACAGTATTTAATTAAAGTCAACCTAGTCTAATTAGCCTAAGAAGGTTAAGTCTTTCCTGAGGCAGGGGATTTATCCCCAGTTCTTGCTATATGAACTAAAGTAAACAAATGCAAAGTCTGGACTTACATACAGCTCATTACTCCCCTAGAAAGCTCCACTCTTTGGAAAACATGCTCAGTGTCTTCCAACTTGAGCCTCATCTCTGAGTGCAATGAGGGGACTGAAGTGCTATAACGATGAGGTTTAAATCCCATTTCATCCTTGAGCATGGCCACAAAACACTTATTAGTCCTTCAATAAAGGAAAACCCATTTTTCTTGGACTGTATTTTTTAACAGAGGTCCTGCTGGTTTAGGAGTCCGTAGTGTGCTGTTCTGCTAACTAAAAGGCTGTGAGTCTCCAACGGTTCGAACCCAGCAGTTCTCAGTGAGGGGAATCCTGTCCCCCTGTTACGGACACACAGCCTCAGAACCCAACGGAGGGTGCTGCGAGTTGGAATCAATGCAATGGGAGTTTAAAAAAAAATTGGGGGTAATTTTCTAAACTGGATTATGATAGGTTAGCAGGGGAAAGGAGAATTATATAACAGAATCACTTGCAAAGTTTACTAAACTCAAATATCAGGGCCTCATCACAATGGAAACCAGTATATCGCGGGTGTAACACAGGCACTTGGCTTTTCCTAAGTTTCCCAGGCAATTCTGATCCACAACACAGATTTAGTACGACTGACTTGGAGTATTAATTTTAAATTTTTAGTTCTAACCCACAAAGATAAAAAAATATATTCCTTTTTCTAGCATGTTTCTAAACTAGAGAAGGAAAAAAGAGAGAAACATATATATGCATAAATAAATTAATAAACCTACCCAAGTCCAGCTAAATCTGAAACAAGATTTCCCAGAGCAGCAGCTAAAAAGATTGAAAAATGGCAAGTGAGTTGTAATAGAAAAGTCAGAAAAGCACGACTTCAGTACGTGATCAATCAAACACTGGTCTGGAAGAATGATCACATTCCTCAAGCTATACATCTATATCCAAAGTAGCCCACTAAACAGCTCTAGACGGACATTTCTCCTGGAGGATTCTACCTCCATTACACTAGGGGCTTGGGTTTGGTTCTTCTATTTGCAGATTCAGCTTGCATTTTGGTTTAAATATTAGAACACCTAGCTCTAACTAGTAGAAAAATTAAAAAAAAAAACAAAAAAACACCTAGCTCTGGTGAAAAACAATGTATACAAACTTTGTAAATAAACCAGTATAAAATAAAAAAGAAAGAAAAAACAAGACATCGAGCTTGGGTGGCCTAGTGGTGAGAACCTGGGTTGCAATCCGAATGCACATGATTTGAAATCGCCAACTGCTCCGAGGGAGAAGGAAATATCTCCTCTCACGCAATTAACTGTTGGAGGGTCAGCTATGGATCGGTTCTGACTTGATGGTACTCAACAACAACATACTATTTTATCTTTTCTCTTACAGAATTTAAAAAGAACTTGGATATTTTGAAATAAAGAAGGAAAAAGCCAAATGTACAGACCTGAAACTCAAGACAGAAAAGAAGAAATGTGTCTTGCATTAACTCACCCACCTCACACTTTCCGTGTAACAGGCCAACCCAGAACTACTCCCAAACTTCACCTTCCTCAAAAGTAGTGGAACAAACCAGGACTCAATTAATGACAATATTTAGACATTGTGAAAACATAATGAACGTTACTGAACCACTTGTGTGGTAATGATTAGAAATCATTTCTGACTGTACAAATGTAGTGACCTTAAGTACAGCAGAATAAAGCAATGTAGAGTCTAGTCCTGTGCCATCATTACAATTGTGCCTGCTGAAACTCATTCCTGCAGTCACAAATACGGTAACTCACATTACTGAACAATTTATGTACAAACTGTCAAAGAAGATAACTTGCTGTGAAAATTTTCAATGAAAACACAATAAAAATAAATATATGTTTTAACATTTTCATTATGATTTGAGTGAAAGTTTAGGGAGCAAACTGGTTTATATTCCAGTAATTCACACACATTCTGGATTTGTGACACTGAGTGGCATCATCAGGAGGTGGCAGCACTGTTCCCCTTTCACCCTTGTATTTACCCTTTCCATTTGTCCTTCTGCTCTATGCATTCCTTCCCGCAGTCTGAGCTCTATCTCTGGGCAGATGATATCTTTTAATCCCAAATGGCTGGCTGGTATTTTGTGAAAAGGCACTGAGACACACTACTGAGTGTGAGAGAGCATGCATAATCTTAGTTACCCTACAGGCTAATGTAGGCAACACTGGGCCATATTAAGAAAACGGAAGTTCAGAAAAGTGGCCAAAAAGCCTTACCTAAAAGAGGCACAGAGATGTAAATAGCAACACACAAAATAACCATGATTTTAGCTTTGTGGTAAAGTAAAAAAAAATTTAAAATGAAACACTTTAGTACTAAAATGAAGGGTGGAAAAAGAGAAGAAACTAGATTTTCAATACTATATTTCTTTAATTTTTCTACCAAACTGGAAGACAGATCATTTAATAGTGACCCAGGATAGAGATTTTGGGGGGTAACATATGGAACTAAGAGAAAATGTATTTAATATAATGTACCTCAGTGTGTATCCATTAAGAAACTTATCTAAAATTTCTCCTGGGGAAAAAGTGCTACAAACACAAAATCTGAGGAAGAATAATATAAATTAAATAAACCAGCAGATCTTAATGAGTAAAACTACCCGAAAAGTTATGCTGCTCTAAACGTATATATAGCCAATAGAACCATACCATTACTACTATTAAATACCTGCCATTGTTGAAATTCCCAAAATAATTCCAATAGACATCTCAATTTGGGTTCCCTGAAAATGATGACAGAGAAATTAATCTTCAAAGTTAAAGCTGCAGTGACTACAAGAGAACAAGCTAATAATAAAAACAAATTAGCAAATGAAAGTTAAATATGTCAAACATTCAGATTTGTGTATACACAGTATAACAATCCATTTAATATATGCATTGATAAAAATATAACAAAAAATACAACAAATACTATTTTAATCATCAAGTAAAAACAACACAGAGAAATAGAATTCGGGATTTGTATTTTTCTAATTTTCTAACAAAGGTGCTTTAACGCTTCTGAACACAAAGAAAATAAATTCATTTAAGATTAATTTATGATTGCCATATTTATACTATCTGTTGTTGTTATGTGCCTCTGAGTGACCTGCAACTCACAGCAAACATACGTACAACAGATCTGAACTCTTCTCTATCCTGTGCCAGTCTCACTGTCTCCAACACACCTGCTATCTCAATTACTCCAGTTACTGTGTCAATCCATCTAGGGTCTCCCTCTCCTGCACTGTCCATCTATCTTTCCAAGTATGATGTCCTTCTCTAGGGATTGGTCCCCCCCCCCGACCACATACCCAAAGTATGTGAGACAGAGCTTCAAAATCCTTGCTTCCAAGAAGCAGCTTGGTTTCAGCCTCTCCAAGATAAACCTGTTTGTTTTCTTGGCAGTCCATGTATGTGCAGTACCCTTCTCCAGCACCCTAACTCCAAGGCATCAATTCTTCTTCTGTCATCTTTGGTCACTGCCCAGCTCTCTGATGCAGAGAAAGTAATTGTGAAGACTGTGGCCTGAATCAGGTGTACCTTAGGCTCCAGACTGACACCTTAAACACCAAATTAATGTAGGCATCTCAAAACATCATGGACTTGGTATTCTTATGAGACTACATAATTCATTAAGTACAACAGATTTATCATAAAAATGAAGTTTCATTATATTTCCACGGAATTTATTTATTGAGATGGTTTAAGGCTAGGGTAATGGAGACAGGTGTGTTGGAGACAGTGAGACTGGCTCGCGACAGGGCAGGGTTCAGAGCTGTTGTACATAGGGTTGCTATGGGTCACAGGTGACTCGACAGCACATACCACCCCCCCCCCCCACCAAAACTCTACATCTGGATTTTCCTTTCTCTGAAGAAAGATCATAAGTATTTTTACTTCCACATTAAAGATAGTGGAATAAAGGGGAAGATATTTCATCAAATGAATGGCACCTAGCTGATAGCACAAATGTCCACCACAAACTTCAAAGCTTTGACACTAACAACAACAAAATCCTATGTCAAAAAGGGGGTGGGAAAGAGGCCCAAAGAGAAGGAAGATGAACATCCTTTTTTTAAAATGAATGTACATCTTTTATATGGCTGCAAAGAACAGGAACATGGGGAAGGGACATGATAGCTCCAGTACAAACGCACACACAGCACATCCAGCCTCTTTACCGGCAGTGAATCACCTGAAGTCACAAAAACAATCTGTCTGAGGGGAGCTCTGGTAGCCTAGTGGTAAAGAGCTGCAACTATAATCCCAGAGGTGCACGGTTCGAATCCACCAGATGCTCTGCCGGGGAAGGAGGGACAATCTCCTCCTGTACCAGTCAGATCTAATCTGACAGTACACTCACACAAAAATAGTAAAATAGTAAATAAATACATAAAAATCTGTCTGAAATATCTATATATACAAAAACAGCTAAGTGCTTAATTATCTGATAGAATTTAAGATTGAAACTCTAATATCAAGGAAAACCTTACATAAAGTTAAAAACATCTGGAGTACAACTATTTTATCTCCCTTAGTTACAAACAATTTTACATTAAAAGCGGCAGACATGAATATTAGCTGTCTTAAAGTCATACATAAAAGAATATCTTAATAAAATTTGTCTCAAACTTCTAGTTAATGCTATCAATTAACATGTTGCTGCAAATGACGTCAAATGTGTTTCTAAGCACGATCGTCAATTTAAAAAGTGTGCGGCAATGTGTTAAATTGTAAGAAAATAACCCCTAAAAAACCCAAATACAGTTATAAATACATCTTATTGAGAAATCAATACTCAGTATATAAAGCAGCTAAAATGGAGTTCAAACCCATTACTCTACAGAAATATTTTTATGATTATAAAAGGGTAGCAGTTAGAATAATAACTTAATAGAGAGGAAAACATCAAATATCTATGGCATGACAGAACAGAAGAACTAAGGATCTCCTTATCTTCAGAGAGTTAAGGCTGGGTGTCAAAAAAGAAAAGGTATTGAAGACTGATGTTTATACATTACACACACATATGATAAAAAGGTGAAAAACATTCTTAGAATAACAATGACCATTTATTTCCATTTTATATATTTTAGAATTACATTATTGATGTAATAGAATCTCAATGTTCTATTACAAAGCTTCTCCAAAACATTTCAGTCTCTGAATTAGTCTGCAATTATCACAGGATAATATTTTTGCCACACCTATTACTCATCAGTTCCTGAAGTCAGTTGTTCACAATATTTACAGGATAATACTTTTGTCACATCTATTACTCCTCATCAGTTCCTGAAGTCAGTTGTTCACAATATTTATTTCAGTACTATGAAATAAGAACTGGTGAAAATTTCCTGAAACTGAATTTAAATATTAATTAGATTAACAATTATTATTCCTATGGAGTCAACTCTTTTGAGGCAGTAAAAAAAATAGCTCATTAACAAAATGAATAATGTAAAATAGTGAGCAGTACTGCAATAATTTGACTTTATAAAGTGTGAATTGTGTGGAGGAGAGGGGTTTGTTTTGCTTGTTTTGATATCTACTAAAACACAGATGTCTGCTAGTTTAGGTATTATTTCAATGAAATGATTAGTCTACTTTGTAAAAATCTTATTCAGGATCTACTGAAGCTACTCAGCTTTTCAATTCTGATCTCTATTCAAACTCTTTCTTCACCCCTTTTTATGCAAAATATCTCAGCACGTCCCTGTAGGAATGCTAGTGGTCTATCTAGAATATGAATATCTATTTGAATAGTATAGATAAAACAACAGTGTATAAAAACCTACCCTTGAGAGTAATGCTATCTTGGTGTCCATAAACAAGTAATTCCTCTTTTTCCTCCTCCCACAACGTTAAGTAATATATCTCTAATCCACTTGCTGCTAATATCTGAAAGATTTAATGATAAAGCATTTTTAAAATATGTGCTAAAAATTGATCCTTGCCTTCTTAACTGGACTGTGATCATCTCCCATTTACTCTGACCAAATAAGAGAAGTGGATAGTGTACTGGGTAGTTTTAGAAGCTTGCATTTTAATCCTTGTCCTATTTCTGACTTTAGGATCTGGACTCGATATTGAGACTCACTACTAAAGGTGTCATTACATAGTAAGAAAGGGAGATCCACCTTCGATGAAACTAAGTGTAACAAAACTTTTTTTTAAATTTCATTTTAATGAAAGTTTACAGAGACTAGGGTTTCCAGACATTCAGAGAACATCTTTATATTAAAATGACCAGAGGAAACAAACTTTTTTTTTTAAAACACTACCATAGAAGAAAGGCAAAGGGGGCAAGTTCACAGAGTGTGAGACGGAAACTCCTGCCACACATGCTGTGGCCCCTGGCTCCTCCCTTCTGCCCCCGTCAGAAGAGGAAAGACCAGAGATTAAATTTCTTATAGAAACACCCTTTAAAACAATTCTGCAGGGGGAAAATTGAACAAGGAAATAAAAAAAAATCTACATATGTAATTGGAAATGCCTATACAATTAAAGATTATCTGAAAAGTGTTACATACTTTTTTAAAAAAATAATGTCCAAACTAGGACAGGATGATCTACTCAATTGCTGTTTTTATAGTAGACTAAATGCTTTAGTATAGTCGTAATGATTAATACATATAGATGCCTTAAAATTTAGCTACAGCTTAATATGAAATAAAGTAAAAATAAGTATTGTTCACTATGGTATTAATATTAATAAGTTATAGCTATAATATCCAAATTAGGGGAAGTTTGACATTAATTTATTTATTTATTCAAAATAGAAGAAAAAGAACTTACTGCAACAATCATAATTGCATTATCCAAAAAGCCAAACCCTATGAAAGGTATCGCATTGTGGATGAATACTGAAAAACACCAAAAACAGAAAAATATATTTTAAGACTTTATTATTTTAAAATAACAGCAGCAAATTCCATACAATTAAAGTCTCCCAAAATGTTTGAAAATCATTGGAAATATTTTTCATTACCCAAAGTAAAAATATCCTGTAAGAGCTGTTTAACTACTTAAGAAGCTGTACTGAGAGTAGGGAAGACATTATGCGAAATACAATGTGAAATTATTTGTATTTAGCCTTTGCATTGTCTTCAATGGCACCTAACAACAACAGTAACACAGATATACACACACATTTAATGTCAGAACAAATCAGTAATTATATACAAGTACCATATTTACCTTTTTGCTACTGGTATCAACGTATTTCTCTCTCACACACACACAACCCTAAAGATTGGTAACATAAAATCAGTATTCTCTCAGACTCATACAGCCCCTCTGTAAGTTTTCAGAGGCTAAATATCTTATGGGAGGTGAATGTCCATCTTTCTCCAGGAGACAGCTGGTGGCTTCCAAACACTGGCCTTTGAGTTGGTAGGGTAACTCCTTACCATTAGAAGTAATGAATCAAATTTCAGAGAAGTTATTTGGCCATTTTTACTCATTTTTTTTTTGTTAAGTGCCTTTTTTATCCCCTGCTAACATCATTATCTGCAAATGCATTCTCAAACTGCAGGCAAACAAAAATCTGGTTCAACTAAAATATGTAACTTAACTTTTTCCTACCAAACGCTTATATTAGCTCATTTGTTATATAATCTAAATGTCTTGAGATTACATTAGATATGTAATTATGAAGTACTAACAACTAAACTAAACCCCCTCCCCCCATATGCCAAGTTCTTTATTGGTTTCATTTCTTGTATTTGAAATACTGTGCAATGACATCCTTGACCGGCGATTCTTTGCCATAGTCCTTAACATCTACATTAACCACTGCCAACGACTTTGCAGGACTTTCCTTCTCGGTCAGTTTTGCAGAGACCTACCCATTCTCCAGGTTCTTCCTGTCATCAGCCTCTGTCGGGTTGATTTGCTGTTGTGCACAAAAGGCCTCTATAACTGGACAGACTCATTACAGATGGATGCAGGCACACAGATGGCTGGGGGCTGGTCTACGGCTCTGGCAGCTTCATGGATTCCACATGCTTGGTCATCAAGGAGGAGGGCGGTCTTTAACACCTCTTGTAAAGCGGTATTGACGTCCATTACACCTCCAGCAGCAAGGCCTTCCTGGGCCACAGCAGTGGGTTACGGGTGGAGCCTGAACGCACCCGTGTCTCCGCTTCCTCCACACAACTGGGAAAGAGCACTAACAACTAAACCTGTAGTACAGAGTGGCCTCATTGTTTTCTATTTTGATTTTCCGAACACTGCAGAATATCTGCTGTCTGTCATAGCTGTGCACCGCAGAGTAGTAACGGACCCACAGCTGACCCTCTGCAGGTTTTGGGGGCAGTTAATCGCACTAGAGGAGACTGCGCGTCCTCCCACGGAGCAGCTGGTGGTCTTGAACCACGCGTATTCTGCATTGCAGCGCAACTTCTTGTCACCAGGCCACCAGAGCCCCCTATGGAGTGTAGAGAAGATGCTAAAAAAGAACTAAACTGAGGACCACTAATCTAGAAAGGAAGCGAGAACTGAAGGCACGGTGAAAAAGAGACTCAAAATTGGGGATAATGAAAAGCTTTATTCTAATGACGATGTTAAATTGCCAAGCCAATGGCAACATTACAGGAACTGATTTTTTTCTTTAAATAAATCTTAAGTTCTGAGTTTTACACAACACACACACACACACACACACATACACACACACGTATAATCTCTTTAAAGTATCAGTCTTTTTCTTCTTCTAAGGTAGGAAAGGAGGAGGAAGCAGGAGAGGAAGACCCTAGATCATCAGATGGATTGATTCAGTGACTGGGGTAATGAGTAATAGGTGTGTTAGAGACAATAAGATTGGCAAGGGACAGAGCAGGGTTTAGGGCTGTTGTACACAGGGTTGCTAAGAGTTGCAGTAGCCTCAACGGCACATAATAACAACAATGTAGGAAAATGCACAGAAAAACATAATCCAGGAATTAATTGCTGAGGCAAATTCTGCTCCAAACAGAGAAGACTAAAGGGGGGTGGGGGTGTGAATCTACCCACAACTGGACAATGAATGAAAGAAGAATTAGTGCATTTGAGCTATGCTATTCGAGAAGAGTAGTGAGTATCCCAGAGGGCCAATAAAACCACAGAATGTCCTGGACAAAGTGCAGCCAGACTGTTCCTTAGAGTCAAAGATGATCTCACATACTATGTACATGTTGTTAGGAAAGAGACATCCTGCTTGGAAAAGTGGAGGATCGACCAAAGAGAGGCCGCCCTTTCCCAGATGGATTGACACAGTGACTGCAGCAATGCACTCAAGAGTATCAGAGATGATGAGGATGGTACAGGACAGGACGGGGTTCAGATCTGTGGTTCACAGGGTTGTATGTGAGTCATACTTGACACTCAGTGGCACCTAACAACAGCCCATAACTACTATCAGTGAGGAAAATGAAGAGGGAAACAGAACATATCCTCATAGGCTTCAGAGAGACCAACTCATTTCCAGAAAGTGGCGCTGCCATTAAGGTGTGCCAGTGGGATAAGCTACCATCCAAAGTTAACAGAGTAAAGCTGCCATGTCAACAGGGCAAAAGAATGGGGCCTTGCTAAAGGCGGGGAGAGAGGCTGCCACTCAGAGGGGCTACAAAAATGGGACTGTACAAAGCTAAAGACATAGAGCTGCCACCCCTGAGGGTCTGGGATATGGAGCGGAAGCTCAGGGTGAAGGCCTTCCACCCAGAATCTAGAGACTGTGGCCAGGACTCAGAGTTTGGAGGTCAGAGCCACAGTCCAGATGGTCTCAGAGAACACAGGATTATTTTCAAGCACCGAGAACTAATGTAATTTGTTCTGCTAGGTTTGGGACTTGCCTGCTGTCTATTATCCCATCTTACCCTCAATTTCTTCCATCTGTACAAGAAATGTTTATCTGTTCCACCACTGTACTTAGGAAATCCAGAATACAGGTTACCAGACCCCAAAGTTTATAGGTAAAGAGGAATTTTCCCCAGGATGACATACTCCTAGTCTCCCCCATGATTCAACCCTGTGATTCAGAAGAGGTTTTGAAGGAGTTGATATAAGACTTTTGGGTCAATGTGATGGTAGGACTTTATGGTGCGTGTGACAAGGACATGAATTTTGGTGAAGCCAAAAAGTAGAATGTATGGATTAAATTCTATTCCCCAAAGCTATATATTATTAATTCTAAACGCTACTGGGATTATCATCTCATTTGAGAACAGGCTGCTTTTGTTACAATAATTTAGGGTGTATCTTGAGCCAATCTATTTTGAGATTCAAACAAGATTGAGCGGGTAACTGAATGACATGACACATGGAAATCTGCAAGGGACTAGGAAGCAGAAGTTGAAGAGACAATGATACTCCTTAGAGACAATGGACAGAGAAAGGTTTGCCCTGAAGCCCACACACTGAATTTAAGCATCTAACCACCTGTTACAGCTGTGGTGGTGATGTACCGCCAAGTCAGATCCAACTCATAGCTGACCCTCCGGTGGGTCCTCAGAGGCATTTTAATCACACAAAAGGAGAGTGCCTAGCTTTCTCTCATGGAGCAGTTGTTGGATTCGAACTGTGTGCCTCTGGGATAGCAGTAAAACTCCTTACCACTAGACCACCAGAGCTCCAAAGTAGAAAAATAAATTTCTTTGGTAAAGTCATCCACACAAGGTATTTCTGTTATAATATTACCTGATAATTAACATAGTTATTAAGAATGTAAAAAATAAAAATCAGTAATAGTTTTATTATTAAAAAAGCATTTTAAAAATTACTGAAGTGATAAATATAAAATAATAATTAAGGAAGATATTTCAATTCAAAGACCTAGCTTTATTTAGTTCTTTGACATTTTATGTTTATTTCCTTAACTATTATACATTGCAAATTTTAAGAATAGTTTTCAATATATAATAGTAGTAAAAAAGGTCTGATTTGATAGAGCAAAAAAGTGTCTTTTTTTTAATTTACTAAATGAAACTTTTGCAACATAGAAGAAACTACTTCAATGTATCTCAAGAGAGATGGTACTTAATCACTTTTGAAATATAAATATTTCTAACTATGAAACTTTTTAGAACAACAGACAGTTCCTGGGTTATGGATGAAAGAAATCCTTTTCTAATTGTGTCTTAAAGCCACATTTATAGGTAACTCAGACACACACAGTTCTTATCTAGTCTTAATTTAGTATGTGAAAAGGATTTAAAAGACTGTACATACAGCAAAAGACAGAGGAGAAAGAAAATAAAAACCAAACTGGGTGTCAGAGAAGACTCTTATAATAGCACTGAGCATTGAGAAGCCAAAACAAAGGGAAAACAGTAAAAGACTGAACAGAGGATTTTAAAGGGCAGCTTGAGAAGACAAAGCAAAGTATTATAATGGAATGTGTGGAGAACTGAAATTGGGGAAAAAAGGGAAGAACTCGCTCTGCATTTTCTCAAGCTGAGAGAAATAAAAAACAAATTTAAACCTCATGTTGCAATACTGAAAGATGTTATGACACAATCTTGCTTGCTGAAACTGAGGAGAACCTGAGGCATTTGCTACAGAAGGTCAAGAACTGAACCCTTAAATATGGACTGAAGCAAACAAAGATTTTCACCACTTGGCCAATTGGCAGAATCATGATTGATGGAGAAGAGACTGAGACTGTTTACAAGCTTCCTCTTGCTTGGCTCCTCAATCAACACTCTTGGTACTAGCATCCAGGAAATCAAAAGACGAATTGCACTGGGAAAATCTGCTGTCAGGGACCTCTCCAGAGTACTGAAGAGCAATGATGTCTGTCTAGAGACTAAGGTGCACTCGATCCACACCACAGTCTTTGCAATGCATCAGAGAGCTAAGGATGATAGAAGAATCACTGATACCTCTGAGCTGTGGTGCTGGAGAAGAGTATACCATGGACTGCTAAGAGAACAAACAGGTCTGTCCTGGAGAGGGTGACACCTGGCTGCTTCTTGGAGGTAAGGATTTTGAAGCTCTGTCTCACATACTTTGGGCATGTTGCCAGGAGGGACCAGTTCTTGGAGAAGGACATCACGCTTGGAAGGGTAGAGGGACAGTACAAGAGAGGAAGCCTCTGGCTGAGATGGATTGACTCAGTGACTGAGGTGATGCAGTTAGGTGTGTTAGAGACAATTAAATTGGCTCAAGATAGAGCAGAGTTCAAAGCTGCTGTATATAGGGTTGCTATGAGTCAAAAGTGACTCAATGGTGCATAACAACAACATAGGCAATATACTGAATGACCCAGGAAGCATCAAAAGAAAATGGAGGGACTACAGAGTCACTGTACAAAAAAACTGACTGACAATGAAAAATTTCAGGAAGTACCTACCATATAAGCAGGAGTCAATGGTAATGAAGGAGGAAGTGGAAGCTGCACTGAAGGTACAGGCCCCAGGAATCAATGGGGTATCAACTGATTTGTTTCAGTTAAGAGATGTAGCCCTAGAAGTGCTCACCAGTCTACGCCAGGAAATTTGGAAGAAAGCTCTCAGCCAATCGATTGGAAGAGGTCCATATTTGTTCCCATTCCCGAGAAAGGTGATCCAGCTGAATGTGGAACAGTATCATTGATATCACATGCAAGAAAAATACGACTGAAGATCATTCAAAAATGGCTTAGAATAGTACACACATAGGGAACTGCCAAACATTTGAGCTGGATTTAGAAGAGGCCGAGGCACCAGAGGTATCATTGCTGATTTCAGAGGGATCTGGGCAGAAGGTAAAGAATACCAGAAGGATGCTTATTTATACGTAATTGACTATGCAAAGGCATTTGGCTGTGTGGATCATAGCAAGTTATGACTAATATAGAGAAGAGTGGGAATTCCAGAGCACTTAATTGTGCCCATATGAAATCTATACCTAGATCAGGAGGCTGTTGTGTACACAGAGCAAGGGAACAGTCATGGTTTAAAATTAAGAAGGGAGTACGTCAGGGTTTTATTCTCTCTCCATACTTATTCTATTTGTATGCTGAGAAAATTATAACCAGCATTATGTAGATGACACAACCTTGCTTGCTGAAAATGAGGACTTGAAGCACTTGGTGCAGAAGATCAAAGAATACAGCCTTCAATATGGATTGCATCTCAACATCAAGAAAAGATTCTGGACTGATTGGCAACATCATGAAAGACGGAAAAAAGACACTTCATCTTACTTGGATCAACAATTAAAATCCTTGGTTCCAGCAGTCAGGAAATCAGGAGACGTACAGCACTGGGAAAATTTGCAGTTAGGGACCTCCCCAAATTATTGAGGAGTACTGATGTCAGTTTGAGGACTAATATGCATTTGATTCAAGCCATGATATTTCTGATCAATTGCCATGCCTGAGAACTGGACAATGAATAAGGATAACAGAAGAATTGATGCCTTTGAGCTGTGGTGCTGAAGAAAAGCACTAAACATCCCATGCACTGCAAATATGTCTTGGATAGGGTGCAGCCAGATTCTCTGACTTCTTGTACAGAATGCCACTGTGAGTGAGTGCACCTACTGACAACAGGTGTGTTGGTTCAATTATTTCAAAATGAATGCAAATATACATAACATTAAAGGCTAAGTAAAAATGTTCCTAAATCAGATTATTCCCAAGCAGGAAGTTGCCTGCATTTTAAGAATTTGGAGTTTGTGTGATGGTAAGTCTATTAAATTAAGGTTAGATTAACTGCTACTGTAGTAAAGATTTAGTCAGTGTAATCAAAGTACACTGCTACAACAACCAGGTTGAACTAGACAGGATGTTATGTTAGTTTAGATCTAGACAAATGTGTTATAAATAAAAATTTCTCTTTAATCTACCAAACAAAAGTAATTATCAACAAATTAAATTAACACGCTCAGGTGGAGGGCAAAACCCACATCAGTTGCCACGGAGATACCTCAACTCATGAAGACTTGATGATGTGGTCAGAGCAGGAATGTGCTCTACAAGGTTCCCAATGGCCCACTTTGGAAAAACGGAAGCTGGATTAACATAGTGACTGCAACAATGGGCTTGGGCAGGATGAAGACCATGGTGGAGGATTCAGAATGGTTTTTGTTCTGTTGAATTTAAGAGTCACTAAGAATTGGTCAATTCAATGGTACCTAACAAACGACAGCAACAAAATTTTTTGAAGTAGATCACCATGTTTCTCTCCAATGTCCTACTGGGAGGACTGGAACCTCTAGCCTCTTTTTGCTACCAAGTGCATTAATGGAGTATATAGTGAGTACTCCACCTGCTTTTTGATATACAAAGACAAATTAGACCCAGTGGCTAACCCTCAAGGATTCTAGCCATATACATATAGAATATGACTATAAACTTGAAAATTCGTTAATAGGATGCAGACAGTTTCACGGAGGTTGCTGTTGTTAGGTGCCCACCAATTCAGTTCCGACCCATAGTAAAACAGTATTTTATCTCTATTATAATAGGAATAATCTGAGATATTTTGAGGAAAATAATCTTCAAGGATTTGGACCTTAAAGCACTCTTAAACTACTTTGGTATTTGAGAATAGTTACTCATTTCTAATAAAAATTACCTTCCACCTCATCAAAGGGGGTCAGGCAGAATTCGTTCTAGCTACTTTTTTATTTGGTTTTTAAAATAATATGCTTATTCTCCAGTGTGTAATTTAATCTTACTTTTGTGATTTACTCAATATTATTTGAAAAGCATTTTCCTGTGATTCAGCTTTGATAGTAAAACAAATCTAATATTTAACTTTAACTTACAACTATTGAAATCACTGCACCGCTCCCCTTTTTCATCTTTATAACAAAATCCTAAACTGTTTTAGATTACTTCAGTGTTAGACTTAAAAAATTTTCCTATCATACTAAAATTTTAAGAAGCAAACAAGCAGCATCAAAAGGTTCTTGTTGCTGGTAGTTTACGTGAACTGTTCTCATTACTGCAAATACTCAGAAAAATGTACTCCATCGAGAACAGCTCCAACCAGCCTAGAACTATCCTAGTTCTACAACCCAAAGAAAAATATCTTCTTTCCCATGGGAATTAAGAAAACCTTTTCATATGTGTATTTCTATATCATAACAATATATCTAAAATCAGTTTTAACGGGTACTGAATATTCTATATTGTGATATTTCTTAAACCAAGTTTATAGGCTTTGTTCTTCAGTATATCCCCTCTATCTGCAAAGCTTAATTTACTGACATTTTCTGATGAATGACACATGCTAAGACCAAGAGAGAGATGAAAAAATATTTACAAGTTTAGCACTATTACCGTATCTCAGCTGTCCTTGGGTGGGTGGTGGAGCTTCCAATTTTTCTACAAAGGGAAAAAAAAGACGTTGAAAGAATTAGTTACTACAGCATGATGTTCTTGTATTGCAGTCAAGACAATACCCGCAGATTTACAAAGCATGTCAGAGTTTGATAGAAAATATCAGAATTTATGCATAAATTACCTTTAGGTTAGTAAACCCAGTGTTATTCATACAGAAAAATATTAATTGGTATAGCTGTAATTACATTTAAGTCTAGAAAGAAAACAAAGTTTTCATTACAAGCTAACTTAGGATTCCATAGCACTGTGAAATTTTTTTTAAGTTCTTGTATCTATGAGATTGAACACATTAAAGAAACTAGAAATTACATTATCAGAAATACAGCTACTCTTCTTTAAGACGGCACTACAAAATGACTTTAAAAATATACATAAAATCTCACCGATATTGCTGCTGTTAGGTGCTGTCAAGTGTACTATGATTCACAAGAACCTTGTGAACAACAGATTGGAACCTTGCCCTATCCTCATGACCTCTATGTCTAAGTCCACTGTTGCAATCACTGTGTCAATCACCTTGGTAAGGGGTTTCCTCTTTTTCATTGATCCTCTACATTTCCAAACATGTCTTCCCTGAAAACATGCCCAAAGAATCTGAGATAAAATATTAACTGTTATAGCTTTAATTACCTCTAAGGCAATTAGAGCTTATTTAAGATAATCATTGCCTCTAAGGAGAGCCCTGGGTATACTTCTTCTAAGACAAATGTGTTTGTTCTTTTAGCAGTCTATATTATATTCAATACTCTTTTACCAACACCACAATTCAAAGCCAAAATGTCTACCTTATTGTTCAACTTCTGGATGCCCCCAAAGCAATGAAAAATATCATGGCTTGGATCAGGCGCACCTTCTTCTTTAAAGTGCCATCCATGCTCCTGAGCACTTTACAGAGGTCACTGACAGATTTTCCCCCAATTAATATGTCTCCTAATTTCTTGACAGCTCATACTGTAGGTGTCGATTGTGGTTCCAAGTAAATTTATTGGAAAAGTATTTTTAATCTAATGTTGAACTTAACAGACTTTAGTTACAAAATTTGTATTTTTCAGTTACAAAACTCATTTCTTTCAGTTAAGACTCTATCTATCTATCTATCTATCTATCTATCTATCTATCTATCTATCACATGTGTGTACACACTGCACCTTATACTGTTTTTTAAATTTACATCATGATTTAGCAGAAATCTTAGAGATTTGTTTTCATTTATCCATGCACATTCTCCTCCCTCCTCCTCCATTTCACTTTGAAATACTTGTGTGTGTGTGTGTATATATATATGGAGAGAGAGATCAGAGAGAGAAAGACTAATTATTCTTTCAGATTATACTTCCCTTCACCTATTCCAGTGCTGTGATCACTATCTATCCATTCTTTTCGTGTTCTCCCGTCTCCATATGTATCCTATTGTAACAGCAGTATTACACAGTATTTGCCCTTTTGTGAATAAGGTATTTCACTCAGCATTTCTTCCAGACTCATCCATTCATGTAGTATCTCATAAACTCATTGTTCTTGGATGCTGCCTAATATTCCATCGTGTAAATGTATCACAGCTTCTCAATCCATTCTTTGATAGGCACGTGGGCTGCTTCAATCTCTTTGCTCTTGTGAATAATGCTGCAATGAACTTGGGTGTATATACATCTGTCTGTGTCACAGTTCTGATTTACTTGAGGTATATTTTCAGTAGTAGGATAGCTAGGTCATATGGTATCTCTATTTTCAACTTTTTGAGGAAGTGTCAGACTGCCTTCTACTGTGGTTGTACCATTTCACACTCCCACCAGAAATATATGAGAGTTACAATCTCTCCACATCCTCTCCAGCATTTGTTGTTTGCTGCCCTGTTGAACTTTACTATTATTGCTAGAGTGAAATGCTATCTCATTGCTGTTTTGATTTGTATCTTTGATACCTAGTGATTTTAAGCATTTTTTTTCTTTTATTAAAATTGTGATTTTAATAAAAGTTTATAGAAAAGTTGGACTTTCATTCATTTATTGTTGCATTATTTCCTTCCTCCCCACCTACCAATCCTGTAGTCCAGTAGTCCACTTACTGTACACCTCTTATTCTGGACTGTTGTCATACAAATAATGCCTAATCATATATTCCTTTTAAACGGTTCTTCCCTTCATCCAGTCCAATGCAGTGGTCATTATTTATCCTCTCCTTTCTTAGTTTTCCCACAACCCCCATGTCAGTCCTGTTTTATAACAATGGAGTTACACATTATTTGTCCTTTTGTGATTGAGATATTTCACTCTGCATAATGTCCTTCAGGGTCACCCATGTTGTATGAGTTACTTGTTTTTCAGTACTGTGTAGTATTCCACCATGTGTCTATACCTCAGTTTTTCTATCCATTCATTTGTTGATACAAATTTTAAGCATTTTTTCCATGTGTTTGTTAGCTACCTAAGTTTCTTCTTTGATGAAACATTTGTTCATATCTTTTGCCCATTTTGGACTGACCTATCTTATTTTTCCATGTTGATGCACAACTTAAAGTGGATCATGGACCTAGGACTAAACCCAAGGACTATAAACTTCATTAAAGAAAAGCTAGGAACAACGCTAGAAGTCCTAAATCCCAACATAAACAGTCTTCCAAGCATCCTGAAAAACCTACAACCAGGAGAAGATAACGTAAATGAATGGGATCTTCTAAGAATCAAATCCCTGTGCACATCCAAAAACTTCTCCAACAGGGTAAAAGGGGAAGCCACCGACTGGGAAAAAGTATTTGGTAATGACATATCAGATAAGGAACTTATATCCAGAATTTATAAAGTATTTTATTTTTAGAAGGGATTTTTTTTAGTATGTTTCAAAGTCTATTCATGTTATAGGTTAGGGCTTCTAGGTGTTATTTCCATTTTTTCTCTGATGTGCATAGTTTTGGGTTTTACCCCTACATCTCGGATCCACCTTCAGATGTTTTTTTATGCATGGTCTGAAGTGCGAATCTTGCTTCAGTTTTCTGCTGATGAATGTCCAATTTTGCAAGCATCATTAATTAAAGAGACTGTTTCTCTACTTACTTGATTTCATCTCTTTGTCAAAGATCAGTTGTCCATAGGTAGATGGGTTGATATCTGGGTTCTCAATTCTATTTCATTGATCTGTCACAATGCTATCTTGTCTATTATGGGTGTGTAGTAAGTTCTGAAGTCAGGGAGTGTAATGCCTCCTACTTTGTTTTACTTTTTCAGTAGTACTTTAAAGTCTTTTTCCTTTCCAGACAAAATTAGAAATTGCCTTTTCCATCTTATTGAAGAATGGTGTTGGTATCCATACTGGGATTGCACAGTTCAAACTCACTAGCTGCTTCACAGAAGGATGTGCAATCTCCTCCCTTAAGTGCCTCTGAAAACCCATTAGAAAGTCAGCTATGAGTCAGTTCTGACGTGACAGCACACAACAAAAACAATATCCATGAGCATAGTATACTCTGCCATTTATCAAGGTCTTTTTTGTTACTTCTTTTGCTAAATTGTTGCATTCTATTGGCTAGGATCCTGTTGAGGATTTCTGTGTCTATTTTCATCATAGTTTGAGGGGTTTTTGGTCCTATCTTTACCTAGCTTTGGTATCAGGATTATGTTTGCTTCATAGACTGAATCTGAGAGTATTTCTTCTTTTTCTATTGTTTAAAATAACCTCTTTAGAATTAGTTACAGATCTCTGTAAAACTCACGGGTAAAGCCATCTGGTTCAGGGCTTTTAGTTGTTGTTGAGTTGTTTTGTTTTGTTTTTTTAATGGCCTGCTCAATTTCTCCTTTTGTGGCTTTAGATATGATTTAGTGTGGAGAATGTTTCAGGCATGCAGAGAAGAATGTATATTGGACTTTTTTAGGGTGCATTACCCTATATATGTTTATAAAGTTGATCTGATTCATTATATAGTTTAGTTCTTGTGCATCTTTTAAACTCAACTCTTTGTTGAGTTTCTTTCTAGTGGCCCTATCTTTCACTGAAAGTGGTGTATTGAGGTCTCCTACTAATATTATAGTTTTGTCTTTTTTCAAGTCTGTTAACATTTATCTTGTGAATCTTGCAGCTCTATCATTAGGTGCATAGGTATTATGTTTATGTTCTATTGACCCTTTAAGCATTATATAGCGTCCTGCTTTATTATTTATGCTAGATTTTATCTTAAAGTCTATTTTATCAGACAGTAATATTACTACTCCCGCTGTTTTAAAACAGTCATTAGTTTCCACCACTAGCTTTGATTTTTAGTCTGTTTTCATCTCCACTTCTCAGGTATATCTCTTACAGACAGCATATGGATGGGTTTTGTTATTTATCCAATGTGCTACTCTCTCACTTTTTCTTAGTGTGTGCAAACTATCCACATTTAGTGTGATTATCAAGAGGGAAGGTTTTATTGTTATAATTTTATTGTGTTCTTTTTTATGTTTATTCTGGTTACTTTGATCCGTTCATTTTTCTGTGGTGTCTCTGTGATAAAGACTTCCTTTAGTATTTCCTGTAACATTGGTCTTATTTTTGCAAACTCCCTTGGTTTCTGCTTTTCTGAGAATGTCCTGCTCGGTCATTCTTGGTCGATAGTTCTGCTGAGTACAGTATTTTCGGTTGGCAGCTGTTTTGAGTGATCTGTATATGCCATTCCACCATCTTCTTGCTCACATAGTTTCTGCTGAGAAATCAGAACTTAATTTTATTTGCTTTCTTTTGTAGGTTACTCTTGAGTTTTTCTTTAGCTGCTTCCCATACTCTCCTTGTCTTTGATTCTGCAGAATTTGACTACGGTATGCCTTGGTGTTTTTCTTTTGGAGTCTATTCAATTTGGGGTTTTGTCAGCTTCTTGGCCATATATTTTCTCATTTTTCATGATACCTAAATAGTTTTCTTCCAGTAACTCTTCCACAATTTTTCAGTGTCTTTTTTTTTTTGCTTCTTCCTTTTCTGGAATTTCAATTCTACTTATGCTATTCTTTATAGTGCCT